ATGCTCCAGCCGGCCGGGAGAGAGGGAGGAGAGAGAGGAGCCCCCCCGCCTTCCTCTGCGCCCCCACCGCAGGGGAGAAGGTGCAGCCTCCCCCCCCCACTCCGTGCAGGACCCCCCCCCGTGCAGCTCTCCCCCCCCTCGGTGTGGAGCCTGCCTTGTCTTCAGCCCCAGTGCCCCCCACCCCATCCCAGTCCTCATCCCCACCCCTGTCCCCAGCTCCCTCCATCATCCCCAACTCCCATTTCTATCCCCAGTTGCCCCCGACCCCGACCCCCCAGTTGCTCCCCCTCGGTGGGAGCTGCCCCCTCCTGGCCCAGGGTACGGGGGATGCTGCAGCCCCTGCAGCTCAGCCCCCCAACCTGGGGCCATTGGGAACAGAAAAAGAGGAGAAAACAGAGCCAGCGTCCACTTCTCCTCCAGCCATCGGTGGCACGGCCGTCCCCAGGAGCCGAGGCCACTGCTCGACCTCTCCCCGTCTCCTGGGATAAGGGGACTGGACCCACTCCGGGTGCTTCATTTGGCCCTTCCACCTCCTGGGAAGAAACCCTAAAACTCCTGAGCTGCTGGAAAACTTTTCCTCCTCCCCAAAAAGGCTCCAAAAGAGCCAGTAACTGGCTGGCGCAGACAGCATGTGCCGGGAGGAGCGAGGCAGGAGGTGGATCAAGGGGACGAGGCTGTGGCTTGGCCAATGCAGGTAGCATTTGCCAGGGAAATGTATGAGCCAACTGAACCTGCCCGGGTGGGCTCTGGTCCCAAGAAAGGCCTGGGAGGAGATGCAGCGGGGTTCCTTGGATTTTAAGCCACTTGGAAACCCCTCTCTGGCTCTGGGCTGCCGCTCCCCGTTCAGCTCGCCCGGCTTGAATCCGTGAGTCTGTGAGTGGGAGGGACACGAGCTGCTGTGCCGTACCCCCAGCACTACTCGGAGCCGGGCACGGGGTTGGGACTGGGGAGCCCTTCTTCCTCATCTTCAAGCCCATCAGCTTCTCTTCAAGGCTCTTTTCCATCTCTCATCCCTTATGGCCCATAGTTCAAAGTGGCCCCGGTCTCATCGCGAGGGTTTCCTCTCCCCTCCACCCTCCTCTTGATTTTATTTTGTCCTCAGGACATCTCTCAGCCCACCTGCCTGCAATGGCAGGAATCAGTCGGGGCTCCCTTATTACAGCTCCTCAGGCTCCACACTTTAATAAAAAATCCTGGTTGCATCCAACAGAAACAGGCTTGCAGATACAGTCACCATTTATCGTCATGAATGGCACAGGAATGTAATGCAATTTCCCCTGGGGATTCCATAAAGGCTTTGTTTGGGAGAGGAAAAAAAATGCCAAAAATGCAGTCTTGGGTTAGAGGGCTCCACGAAACTCTGCCGAGGTGTTTACAGCCCTCAAACACCCCAGCTTTCCCGCAGAGAAAAGCTGCTGCCACCAGCCCCCGGACCAGAGAATTTGCTCCCATTAACACCTGAAAGTGTTTTATTTCACAAGGCTGTGCTGGAAGCCGGTGATGGGAGAGGGGCTGCACCGTGCTGGGACACAGGTGAGCTGGTGGGCACAAGCCAGGACACGGGCACTTGTCACTGTGGCAGTGGCTGGCCCTGGTGACATTGGGGACCTGCTCCCTCCTGGCCAGGCTCTCCCCAGCCCCCAGCACTGCTGGTTTGCTCATCTGCAGCCCAAGACCGAGGCAATTGCATTTCCATCGCTGGACCTCACGCAACTGTGATGCAAGCCCACGGTGCCATGTTAATGGTAATAAAAGGAGAAATAACGAGCCCTGCAGTTAAACTCCCTGCAGCGGGTCCCTGCCTCTTTTGCTCCATCCCAGACAGACCTCCAGCTCCTAAAACCTGGGTGAAACCCCAATTGCTGGTGGGTGCCCGGTCCTGCTGGGGCTGGCAGGGCTGGAGATGATGCCGTGTCTCCTGCAGATGCAGAGGACAGCGGGGTGGTCCCCGCTGCGGCAGCGCAGCCTGGCCACCCTCTAGTGCCACCGGCCACAGGGACACCCTGCTCCCTGCCTGCAGGGACCCGAGCTTTCATCTGGAGCCATGCCGATGTTTCCAGGCTGGGAGAAGAAATCCCATTTGGGTAGGATGGGGCCTCATCCTGGGTCACCCCAGGATGGGGATGCTCAGCACCTTGCAGGATCAGGGGTATGGTCACCCCTTGGCTGTAACAGCCTCAGTTTCCAAAGGACAACAGGGCACTCACTCCGAAAAGGGCGCTGAGCCTGCAGCAGGATCCAGCCCGGTCAGGGAAGGCTGTCTGAAACCCAGACCAGCTCCTGCCAGTGTTGAGGCCAGAAACAACCTTGATGGACTCTCCTGCCCCAGAGTAAAGGCTCCCTGATTTAACCTCTCTGCAAAGCAGGGGGTGCAGGGAGCAGAGCCCAGGAGAGGGGTCCGGGGGCCGACTTGGTGCTGAGGACACGGCCGTGACGGGACACAAACCCTGGATGGGGAGAGGAGCTGCATGGGCCTGGTGGGACCCAGGGGAAGGAGCTGGAGAGCCAGCCCTTCACAATCAATTATAACAAAGCCTGGGCAACAAACGCAGGTAATTAGACTCGCCCAGAAGTAATTATAGTTGTTCTGCTCCATTGAACTTTAAAAAGTAATTAACAGGGGACAGAAAGCAACTTGGGGGGGGCAGTTAAAGGTTTGACCTCCCATAAGCTGCTCTGACCAACAGCAAACTCAGACACCACCACTAAGTCCCCCAGCAAGACACAGAGAACCTCCCCTCATTTTACAGCTGGGGAAACTGAGGCACAAGGCAGGGGTAGGCAATGTGCCCGAAGCCCCTCATGAGGCCAAATAAGGACTGACCACCCTCAACCCCACCGCAAATACTTGCCAGACCACACAGTTCAATGGTTAGTTTTGGGCTTTGTTACTCCCCCCCCCTTTTTTTTTTTTAATTCATCATGTTAAACTAAAGGACCACCAGGCCTGTCTCAGAGAAAACAACAAAAGGCACACACAAAAATAAAGTGAAAGTCCAAATACCTGAGAAAAAACAACTCCAGGTTAGGAAAGCGATTTCTTGAGACACTGTTTGGAGTTTTATTGGCAACAAGGCTCTGCCTTTCACATGCTTGGCGCTGGCCTCACGGCCCGCCACCTTTTCCCACCGGGAACAGCAATGGAAAGCGGAGGGACCAGAAACCTCCGCACCCTGCCGAGATAGCCTACATCACCCCATGGGAGCGCTGGGAGAAACCTGGGGTGGCCCAGATCCGTCCCCCCACGCCCTCCCGCATCCAGCCCTTGGCATGACATGGACAGTGCCTGCCTGCGGGAAGAAAACGGCTCATTAAAACATTCACGATGGGTTTGACTTAAAAGCAGACGGCAACGAGGCCAGCCCGGTCCTTGCCGGCCCTGCGGAGGAAGTCCTGGGAGGACATGTCCGCATGGCCGGGGAGTGCTGGGGGCAGCCAGTGCTGGATCCGGGATCGTTCCTCCCCAGAAAGTCCCGCCGGCAGCACCAGCACAGCTCTGCCCTGCAGCGCTCAGAGGGGCACATGCCAGCAGCCGACAAGCCCAGATACCCTGTTTCCTCAGCACGGCTCTCCCCTGCTTCCCACTGGGAGCTCCCATCTCCTTTAAATACCCAAATCCTCTTTGTAAGGGAAGCCTTGAGATACATATTTCTATCGCACATCTTCCTGGCAGATCCAACACTGCAAAAACACGGTGGGGCAGAAATACCTGCAGCTCCGAACTGCCCCCCATCTCCGGAGGGGTCCAAAGCCCAATGACGCCGTACCCAGGTATCCTTCCCAGGCATGGAGAGGATGGGGAGAACAAGGGGTGCACATTATAAATATAAAATCATTATCTGCTACAAACAGAAGACGTATATTGTACATCTTTGACCCATATACACAAGAACACAATATACACAGAATGTCTTGGAGGAGCGGGGGCTTTGCAAGGGGGGTTCAGGAGATGCTGCTCCCCTACCAGCCCCCCTGCACCTCCCCCCTGTGCTGGAGGGGGCTGTACCGACAGCACATAGGTCACCAAAAGTCCCATCAAGCTGGTGCGCATCATTCGAACTGCACATGGATGGAGTGGTCCCCCTGCTGCCAAGCCCACCCCGCTGCCCTGGGGAAGAGGGAGGCGAAGAGGATGGAGAGAAGGAGAAAGGGCAGGCGTGAGGGGATCTCTCACGAACCCACAAAGTGCTTGGGGTCTCCGGACCCTCGGAGCGAAGCTAGGCCCTGAGAGAAACTTCTTGCCCTGCTGCCCTCGGGGGGAAGGATTTTTCCAGCCAGGTGGGTCTCTGATAAGGCATTTTCATCTGGGAGTTGGAGTGGTGTCAGAAGAGAGAAGGGAGCAGCGCACGTGGTGGCAGGTTAACACGAGGCAGAGAAGCCAAGGTGGTCCCAGCCAGAGAAGCCCAGGGTAGGGAGTGGAGAGGACGAGAGGGCTTTGTCCTCAGCTCAGTTTATCTGTAAAGCTGCCCACCATGTCCTCCCCCAGCCCCTTCAAGGCTCTCGCCCTGGCTCAAGCCACCGGCACGGTGTGAAATACTGACGGTCGTTGGAGTGGCACATCCAGGCGCATGGAGTGGCAGACAGGCACACGTTAAGAGTTAAGACAAGAGTCGATGTGAGCTTTGTACAGCGAGGAGCAGCTCCCGGTCGGAGTGTCCGAGGACTTGGGATGACAAAAATGCCACAGTGATCAGATTGGGCCAGGACAGGGGTGTGAGCACGGGGGAGAGGAGGGAGTCAAGTCCTGGCACCTATCGGCGGTAATGATTGGGGGCATCTGCAAACATATACTTGAGTCTGTAGGCTTCAGCGAGCAGGAGTCCAATTTCTTCGTTACCCCAGTGTATCGTGGGCAGGTTTTGTAACAACATCAGAAGGCCCTGAAAGAGGGGAAGGTGCTTAGTTTGGGGTGGTTGAAGGCTCCAGAGCAGGCTTGGGGCTGGCACAACCAGAGGCAGCAGCACTCAGTAACTTTCGCTCACCACACTCACAAGTCTGAAAGGCTCAGAGACAGCATTAAGATGTGCTCGTGTCTAGATCCGAATCAGTGAAGCACCTCAGATGTCCCCAAATCCCTTGAGATGAAGGTTGCTACCACAGTGTTACAGCTGGACACCAGAAGGCAAACACGAAGGGACTTACCGTGATCAAAACTTGAGCCCAGGGAAGAGCTGGTATTTGATGCTTGAACCCTCTAACAGCTCAGTTCTGTCCTGAGTGCTGAAGCTCAGACATTACTTTTAGGCAAAGATCCTGAGACTGGATGATCTTGGAGCCAGCTTTGAGATGACTGTTGACTGTGTCCGTGCTGGGCTCCCACTCAGAGCAATTCCCTCCCCTCTAGGCCCAGGCAATTACCCCCAGCCCCAGGGACTTACTTGAAAGTCTTCCTCATCTAGGATCTCCTTCCGCCACTTGATCAAGAAGGCGGCACAGACATACAGGTGGAAATGTGAGAATCCTTCTGGCTCTGACTGTGGACAGCAAAACTCTGGGTCAGCTCCTGCAGCTCAGCTGGAGCATGACTTCCCTGGACACAGATATCCTACAGGGCCACCCATCACCCAGCTGGCTATAAATGTCCCAGGGCCATACTGCCTTCCTTCCCTCATCTCCCCAGCTGCACTGTGCTGCCAGAAGACCTCCATCCCCTCATCTACAGGGAATGGGCCGCACAGTGACCAGCCAAGCAGGGAAGGCAGGGGGAGCCTGCATACCTGGTAGGTATCCCAGAGGCGGATGGTGCAGCGAAGAGGCAGCTCCCTCATAAGCAGATTATTCATCCAGCGAAAGGCAAACTGCAGGTATTCGACCTCGTACTTCCTAAAGTGATTATGTACCTGCTCTGAAACAGCACATTTCACTTACATACCCGGGGACCACAGTGCCCCAGCTCCCGCATGCGGCACTGCCCCCAATGCACCAGCTTTCACACACTTTCAGGCTGAGACCTTGCTCTCCTAAATGCCTCTACTACCTCACCCTGTGCTACCTGGCCAGAAAA